ATTTAGTCCAAACCACATATTATGACTTTAGTTCTGGTTTATGTTCAAGCAAAATAATTCTTCTGTTATATCCGAAGTTATAGAGAAAGTCAAACAGCCCCGTTTTGTTCTCTGTTCCAAGGCGAAGAAATCAAATTTTTCCTAAATGGCTCAAAAACTGCGGTTAGAAAATGATGATTTTGGACAAAATCGCTAAAAGAAAGAAAACCTCCTGCGACTGCTTGAACCTGTGAAGAGTCCTAAATATAGGCCGTTGATAGAGCTTTCGAGAACTATAAAATGGCCATTTTCTCTTTTTTCATATCGCAAAATGCAAGGGATTGAAATTGAAAAACCGGTCTTCTCGTTTTGAAAGTAATTGATATTGAAGCTTTCCCATATTTCCTTTATATTTTTTTATTCTTATAGTATATAAAGAAATGTTCAATATGTTTTGTGTAGAGAATTGAATGAGGTCTTTTTGAAAAAAAGATTGAGACTTGGCGATTAACCTTGATCGAGATATTGAGAAAATAGTGAATGAGATAGGACGTATTATATATGTTTATAATAAGAGAAATTTACACTATTTATTATATAATGACATTTTTATTATCACATTAGACAGAAAGATCCCAGAGGACTTGAGTCTATAATAATGACCGTCAAAGCTCTGTAAGCGCAAAGCTGAGCGCAAATTTTGACATTTTTCCCCAAATGAATACTTGAAAAATGGATAACACCAAATAATTACATTACCTTACTTTATCTTACCTTTTTCATTGCAGGATTTTTCGCAATCTATTGCAATCATCTAAAAGTTGTTTGTAAGATTTCAAAAGCCTCTCAGTTATAGGAATTGTCTATTACGTAATAATACTGCAACCGTTCTAGAAAAATCTTTTCAGAAAATTTATTCAATTTTCGATCTAATAAACGTCTTAAAAAACTCTAAACGAGAATCTCACTTTCGGTGTACTGTGACTTGAATATTTTTAAGACGATTGAGGAAATTATTGGATATGTGAAGCTATTTGTATAATCATGGATATCGAGAAACTTAAATAAATCGAGATAAAATTGTTTTTGTATTCGTACAAATAGTAATTATAGCTAGATGTTTCAATTTATTTGCTAAATTTTCATCAGTAGCAGTACAAAAAATTTAAAGTATATCATTTAATTCATAATTAAAAACATAATCAAATATTAACGTGAATCAAAAACACGTTAATATTTATGATGAAAATTTAGCAAATAAATTGAAACATCTAGCTATAAAATACTATTTGTACGAATACAAAAATAATTTTATCTCGATTTATTTAATTATCATCTATATTCGTATATAATATCTGAAGATAAAGAAATGTCCGAGAAACTTAGTGCACACAGAATATAGATGAAACCCTTTTAACGACACATTTGTGACTGATAAACGCCTCGTACTTTAAATCAATAAGCTGAATTCTATATGTGCATTAGTCTTCCAGAGAAACTCTCAGTAACTATGATTACTCTCAAAAGTTAACTGCTTCTTTAACTAGATGGAAATTCGTCGCTGAAAAGACTTACAGTCGGCAGTGACTAATGCTGTTTTTGCTATTTCCTAGTTGAAATAGTCATCTACTACTTTCTATATTATTTTACATTTTAGTTTGTTAATCCTAATCGAATGAGTTTAAGAAGATTGGCATTCAAATTTGTTCAATTTTGCAGTCGTTCTATATGGTCAAGAACAGACTTTTTATTAGGAGTCTTATGTACGATAATTATTATCGTGGTAATCTACAACGGAACATTTAAAGAGAACAATATAAAAACACAGCCATCACTAGTAACAAGAACATATTACTCCTCCATAAAATGTACTGAAGGTGTAAATTGTGACATCGAAAAATTAACTGATTCTACGACAAGTCAAAAGTTTCATAAAAGTGATTTAATAGATATGAAAATCCATACAAAAATATTGAGTGTAATTAGAAACAATCGAACAAACTCAATCACGACGTCTCTCAATCCTTCGAATAATTTAACATTTCTATTTTCAAATGAATCCTTTAAATTAAATTTAAACTTATCAACTTTGACTTATATGAATACTACAAACACTACAAACACTACAAACACTACTATCAAAAAGACTCCTAAGCCTCCTTTTCTGGATCCATTCATTCCACCCAATCCTGTATATGATAAAAATAAACGATTGTCCTTTCGTGTAACAAGTTTACCAGATCTATATCGAGATCTTTTACGTCTCAAAGGATATCCGCTGAATGTTTTCTATAATCAAGTGCCAGGATGTACCACCGAAACAATGGGATCTGTACTACGAGAACAGTCACTTACTAGAGATTTCGTCGTAAACAGTAGTGAGGTAAGCACAAGTGTGTTTACATCCTCTAACTCATCGAAACAAGTTACTTGCAAAATCTTATCGATGATCTTCGTAAATAGTATTTTTCTTTCTGTGATAAGAAAATTTTACTCAGATGAATTGACTTTTATGTCCCGACAGTTATTATCACGTGCTCAATTTTATAGGTTTATGCTCCATTCAATTATAATCCGGTCATGCAAGAAAACATCATCAAAGACGTTTATAATTCTTTACAACCATCATTATATGTACGACAGGTCTATTTTATTAATTTTACAGCCTATAATAGACCACATCCAATTTGGATGAATATTATCAAAGATCCATTAGAACGAGGAATATCCAATTTTTATGCTTCACGCGCATTATGTATACAAGAAAACAAATGTTATTTAAATATAAAATATTTAAATGATACATTCAATGATTGTGTTAATAAATATCAAGGTCAATGTTTTGTTCCTGAACAAGGTGGCAGGTATGATCATATCAAGATTTCTGTTTTTCTTAAAAATGTATTTTTATTTAAGTGGTTTGGTACCATTTTTTTGTGGACAAGATCCGCAATGTGAACAAATGAATGACTGGTCATTACAGACAGCGAAATACAATATCAATAAATATTATACTGTTGTTGGATTAGCAGAACAACTATACAAATTTTTTTTTGTCCTCGGTATGTATATTAATAGTTCAATTTAAATAAATATTTAATTTCTTTTTGAATAGAAAAACTATTACCGCGGTACTTCAAAAATATTCGATTGTTGTATATGAACAAGACTATGTCTCGCTCAAAAAAGATTGATAATTCAACGTTGGAGGTCATGCCAAGTAACAGTTCAATGAAAATGTTGCTACAGTCTTTAAAAAATGAATATAGTTTATATTATTATGTTCGAAGACGATTTAATAGACAATACAGACAAATTTTGGAATTAGAAAAAGAGCGTTGAATAATAGCTGCAAACAGTTGATGATATAATTGTATCGTGAGCAAAATTTGGAATATATCAAGATTTTCGAAAATTGTCCTGATATTTTTCAATAGTCCAGCACCAACTAGTAGCAGAACTTTGCTAGTTGCAAGAAGAGATTTTTACTAAATCTCATTTAACACATCCTGCATTTAGCTCATATTATCGATTACGAAACCCAGCTCCTCCAAGAAGATAAACAGGTCACCGTGCATACCTGGAGACGAGTATAAAACGATTTTAATTTGACAGCTTGAGCGTCAAGCTGGTTATTTTTAGCTAGTCAATTCTTTCAGAGAATGTATCTTTGTCTAGGTTTTATTCATGTATTAATTAGTTTTTCTGATTAATATAGGATACAATTATGTGTAAGAAATAAAGAGAGAAAAATAAATGTCATGAAATCTTCAGAATTATCCATTTCCGGGCATATTAGAATCCAAATCTACACGTGTTTTACAATAGCAACAACAAATCCGAGTCTTATTCCCATTTTTCCTGTGACGTTTTTCTGAGTTTGATTTCTTCATTAGTACTAAGAAACTGACAATATTCTGCATATAAACAGATATCTTTCGGAGGACAATTAAAACATTTGACACCATCCCTCGGCGGTTTTGTCCATAACGGGACTTTACAGCCCCATGATTTCGATTTAGTACACGGCGGACAATTAAATTTCTTAATGTCCTCACAATCTTCAACTGATTTTTCTAATTTACTTATCATCTTATCATTTTTACCAGACATTTTTTTTCCAGTCGAAGATAATGAAAGAGAAAAATTAATTAAGCATTCAGTTCGAAATAAGTAAAATAAAACATCATAATCAAATGTTTGGCTATTTTAAAGAACTCCATGGCAATACGATAATGTAAGAGCGCTAGTGATGATGAGTCATGAAATCCATTCTACGTCTATCAAAATGAACGAGCGGTATTGCGCGACCTCTATCCCACATTTGTTAAAAAAATAATTTTGTTCACTTAGAATAAAAAATTTAAAAAGAATATTCCTTGAAACATTCAATTCTTTTCATTAAAAATCTCGCTTTCTGTACATATCTTTATAGTTTACCAGGCCTTTTTATATCTTCGTTATTTTATGCCTAATTCCGTAAAACAGAACAAAACAAATGTAAAAGAGTCTTTCGCTATGTTACAACATGGACGACGAAAACGGTATGACTGTCTTGAAAAAAACCAGCTGTGCAATTGTAAAAATAAATATTAAAATAACGTTGATTTCAATATTTTAACTGGTAAAGATTAACAAGTTTTATGATAATTCATTTTAGCATATCCAGATAATCCCGTACGATTGTTTCCGTGTTCAAATTGTGGACGGAATTTCAATCCCGAATCATTAGTAAGGATTTAGTCTAAATTAAATGGAAACTTGAAGTAATAGTGTGTTTTAGAGAAAACATCAACCAATATGTAAAAAAGTGGTACAAAAACAACGAAAAATATTTGATGCTGGTAGACAGAGAGCACGAGATACAGATATTCCATATGCAGCAACAAAAGAAACTACACAGGTATATATCATACCCCTCTTTCTTAAAAATAATTTTTTCTACGTAATTATCTAAAAGCATTGGTTCAGTAGTTCTGATTGAATATTCTTTTTCTATCATAGATTTATCAAGGTGTTATTAAGCCGCAAGAGAAAGAGGTATTTCTTTAAGTAGTTTATCTTATATCAGTTTTTTTGTCGATGAGCATTTTATTTTAGAAAAAAGGAAATTGGCGTGAACTTCATCATCAACTAGTGAGAACAATTCGTGAAGCTCGAAATGTCACACATGCCATTGAAACCGGCGCACCGATGCCAAAAACGACACCCAGTAGTGTGCCATCAGGTCTGAAGACGGTTTTGCTAATGTTTTCGTAGAAATAATTGCGAATATTTGTATTTCTATAGATTATGTTCAATGTCAATATTGTCAACGGAATTTTAACAAACATTCAGCTGTTCGACATATACCATTGTAAATGCGGTATTATTTGTGTTAAAAACTCATCGAATAATTAATTTCAAAATAATTGTTGAAATATTTCTTTCTGTTTTTTCAAGTTGTGAAACGCAGTTTAAACGAAAACACATGCAACAAACAGCGAATATTAGAGGTGGTGCTCAGATACTAGGAAGGGTAAGTTACATACTTAGTCATGATAATTTTTATCAAATTTTTGTTGTTTTGATATTTTTAGCAACATTCTCATACGCAACAAGGTGAGTTAACTGATATATTACAACTTAATAAGCACACTATTCATTATTAGAGATGCACTGGTCTCGATTCTTATCGACTACAGTCAGAAATAGTGCCGATTTCTATTGATTCTGATGAGTTCTTTACAAGAACCGCTCTGAACTGATACATGTGCTACTTGTTCTTGGTATCTTAGATAATAATGCTCATGACATAAATTATAAACCACCACAAATCAATTCTGCTCCAACAACACTAGCCTATCGACGACCAGTGCGATACACTAACAGCGGGTAAGTTCAACTTACACTCACTTTCATATCAAAATATCACCATTAACTGTTGTTCAACTAGGCTAAAAGAAGAGAGTCGAAGACCACCGTTAAATCCAAATATGTTTAAAAAAGGAACTGTTGAGGTATAGTAAATATGTCCCGTCCCAACATAAGTTTCCGAACGCTCTTTTTGCTTGTATAGAAATATGGTCGAAATTCCAAAACTCAAAGTGCAACAGTGACTCATTTAATGAGAACAGGCCGAACGACAGAGAACGATGATTTAAATGTTCAAGCCAGACAACGTAGTGGGGGTAGTACTAGTAATGATTCCCCGATGGTAAATCGTCGAATAACAAACCGTTCACCAAGTCCAGCTCGTCAGCAAAACTCACAGGTCAATGGTTATGCGACACGAGCAAGACCGAAAGGTGTTAATACAGTGGCCGCGACACCAGCGAAACATTGTCATGAATGTGGCACAGAATATGTTGTTGACTGGGCTAAATTTTGCTGTGAATGTGGAGAAAAACGAATAGGTTTGTGATAGTTCCTTTCTTCTTTTTTCGCAGTACTTCAGCTTGTTTTAAAAATCATACAAATTTGTCGTAATTATGTTGATTTCTTTTTCTTTATATACTTGTATAAATTGCTTATGAGCCTATTGTTTTCATTCTTTTGTTCTTTTTTTCTTTATGTTGTTTTGAATATTTTAAAAAATAAATTATTAATCCAACACAGAAAACGCTACTAAAGTTTACGTCTGATCCTAATCTTTCCATTATGACTAAAACTTAAACTGTCTGCTTTGAGTGATAGATAGTAGAAAAGAATTATCCATGTCAGATCGCCATATACTAGTATAGTGTCATCGACACCCTAAGCGATCGTGAACTACTGACAGGAGTAAGTGTGTCAGGCTTCTGTAACTCTAAGAATAATTCTATTTTTTTCAAATTTTTTTGTGTAATATCAAAGAAGATACACCACAGTACGTAATCAGCTGTCATCAGTTCTACTATCAACAGATGATGACACTGAGTAAAGCTCGCGCGTCGCTCCCGATCCATGTACTTAGAGCGTAAAATTCTGCATCTTTTGACTGTAAAATAAGTTATCAGATATTGAACATAAATTTGATATAACGTAGGAAAACTTTCTAAAACGAGAGCTTTTCGAATTTCTGATGTCGTCCCTGTAATTTTAATTGGATGGTCAAATAAGTGATGCTATTTTGTAGAAATGACATTCTCTATTTTTCGAGAGTAAGAATTTTTCTGATAGCGGTTTTAGATTGAAAAGATCATCAGAAAACGTTTATTGGGAAAGTAAACTGTTTACTGATTGTTTCGATCACGATCAAAACAGTAGATTCGACACAATAAAGAATGGTTCATTTTGGTTATTTACACAGTTCAACATTCATCAAAACTAAAGAATTTACCAAAAAACGTGAAAACCTAAGAAAAGTATACATGGCATTACAAAACTGAGTTTCTTAAAAATAATATCGAAAAAATAAAATATTTGGACTGATCTAAATGAAAGTAACCTTCAACTGACATGTGAGAGACCCCGACATTAGATACTTTTGAATATGACTTTTTCCGATCAGGACAATGGAATGATTGTTCGGGATGTGGGTGGTGGCCAATCTTTCAGCTATAAGTGATGTGCTTTGTTCAATTGTCGGGCTCACTCATATGTCGGTTAATCAAAATATTATCGTTATATGATAATAAATATTTATGCATCTAATAAGGATTTTTTGTGTACAGCAGAAGAGACTAGCATCAGACTTTATAAGTATCCGTTCAGTTATCACAACAATTATTAAAAGTTTACATTATGAAAAAATTCTTTTGTGATCTTTTCAAAAACCCTTTAAAAGGGTTTTTGCTCGAAAAGCTGAAAATTTCAGCTTTTCGAGTTAAGAAAATTTTGGTGGGAGTGTAGAAGCAGGTACGAAACGGTGTATAAAAGCATGGAATCGTTTCTCATTGCGTTTTGCAGTCTCGAACATAGTTCCATAGCTGTGAAAAGAAATTTCGACATAATCACGGCCGTTTTACTACGTGCGCTAAGAAAAGAGCAAAAAAGGTAAAGCTTAAAGATTATTTTGTGTCATAGCAACATCGTTGACAAATTTCATGAAATCAGCTGTAAAATATTCTGAAATTGAAATTTCGATCCCGACAATAGTCAAAATTATTACTTACCTGTCCAGTTCTAAAAAAAATGCTTTTTAATTTATAGAAAATTCGTAATATCAAGATTTTTGTTGAAAAATTCAATGTAAACAATAAAAAGGAGGAAATAAACATATCCTTTCCATCTCTTTATCTTTGCTAACAAAAGTCCTCCGTTGTCTGATGCTTCTTTTATTTGTCTTTATCGGTTTATTTGAGTTTCACTTTAGAATGTGTTTGTCATCATAGTTAACATTTTCCAAGTCCACATTTAACGTCTTCCACAAATATCAACTAAAAATATTGATGTTAAATTCTATATCTAAATAGTGCTGTATCTAACTAAAAAGTATCTTGTATTCATGTTTTAGATTGAAAGAAATATTTCTTGTTAGAATATGTTTATCAACGTTTTGAACGAAGAGACCCGTAATCGGATTATCTGAAAAATTTGACAAAAATCTATGTTTGTTATCGACACAGATTAATCAATTTCATGTATATTTCTTATTACTTTTTATTATCTATATAATAAAGATATTGTTTTTCTTTATTTTCAGTTTTCGATTAAACATTGAAATTGTAAAGTTATCTCTAGTTGCAAATTCTTGCTTTTGATAAATGAATCTAATGCAAATCAATTTAAAGAATTACAAAATAGAATGCTAATCAAAAATACTTTTAATCGTGAGCATAACAATAATAGATTACGGTAGTACAAAGAACTGAAACAATTTGTCCTTCAAAAAACCAGACAATATTTTGTTTTTTCATAATAGTTGTGTGTAATGTCAGACCAAATCTTTCTCATCAGTGGTTAATCTCTGTTTGTCTGTTCGTAGTATAGTCTCCCAAATTATGATTTAATTCGAAGAGCAAAAACCGTTACAAAAATATGTTCAATAATAAAACGAGATAAAATAAAACATAATTAACCTAAATGCAGTATAAAAATGTATAATATAAAATGCAGTATAAAAAACAAAAATCATTCAGAGTTTAAACCATGTGGATATTTCCTTGAACATTTCATATGGATGTTTATTCACATTGAAAATCTAAACATAGAGTTTTTAATTTTATGTATCGTATCAAAAATAGAATACAAATATTAGTTTACCGATAAGAGTTCAAGTGAACTTATTTCAGATTGAACATTCTGAACGTGACCACGTGGAATAATTCGAAAATAAACTGGTGGTATGCCACTCTCATCATGTGATAATGGGGGTAAATAAAGACATGATGAAAAACTGTACTGTTTTAGACGATGAAAATAACCTAAAAGTAAGATATCTTTACGGATGATACAACATACTCAATTCTCCTCTCTCTTTTCACTTTGTTAGCAAATATGGAGCAAAAGTCTGATCAAGTTCGAATTCTCATTAGAGAGAGAGTGTATCGAAAATCTTCTATAAATTTTGTGAAAAACAAAGTTTTTATCTGTATACATTACGACTTTTACGAAAACTTCATATTAATCTCGCTTAGAGTTTTACCATAGATATTTTCTGAAAATATGAAAAAAAAAATGGTAAAAAACCTGTATAAAACATCGATTTCTTATATCGAAAACATTATACCTCTTATTATTAATCATTATAAAGAAAAGTCAGAAATAAAAAAGCTTTTCATTCTGAGTTATCGTTTCAACTATCTGTAGTAAAATTGTGAGCATGATCGGATAAAGTTTTCGAGGAGTTGTATTGTACACAGATGAAAAATTTGTTTTTCATATAATCTATAGAAGAATATGTCAAAAAATTTTAGGCAAAAATACATCGATTTTCTTTTTCAATATACACTCTCTGGCAAAAATTTGAACTTCATTCGACTTTCACTTCATCGTTATCAATAAGATAAAAAAAGAGATAGAGTACTCGTAAGATATGATTACCTTGAATAATTTGATAAATTACTGTAACTATTCGTTCATCAAAATTTTCTGCTAATAAAATTATATCATATTCCTTTTTTGATGTCTAAATATGAAAAAAATACGATCATAATAATATGATTTAAAATTTAGTTTACTTTTATCATTCTAAATTATTATGTTCATGCAATTTTTATTTGGTTACAAATCAAAAATCTTTTAACAATATTAGCTAGAAGTTTTCGAAAATTGACTATTAAACTTAAATTAATTTGATTGTATGAAAAATCTAATATAACAAAAGATTTTTAACAAAAATTAGCATTAAATATTTCAATCTTTCAACTTTTATTTTAATAGAAAAATGACTTTTGCCTCTAAGACAATGATCGAAATATTATAATGATTAGCAGAATAATAAGTGATTAGTTTATATACGCTTATAGTTCTCAAAGTTGATTATAAATATAAGATTATTTCTTATTTATCGGTTTTATATTGAAAAATAGTTTGAAATACTATTTATTTATTTTATTGTCTATATTTTCAAAATAAACTCAATTGACTATGAAAAAATTTCTCATATTGAATAGTAGTACAATACACAATAAATGAATTAAAAAAATACAAAACAGATGTTCCAATTTCACCAAGAACCAAAAATAATGTCTAATGATTGACAGCTATAATTTATATAAGTAACACATTATTATTGAGTAGTTTTTGTTTTTTCTGCTTCAAACATACACATTCTCCAACATAATAATAATAATATACATTAGGACAAATAAGATGTCTGACACATACATTATTGACAAAGTATAGACAGAATAAATCTCAAGAGGCGAGAAATAAAGTGGTAGTTCTTTCTCCCTTTACAGAACAATAATAATATAGAATGATAGTGAATCAGAAGAATATTACGATAAATTTATTTCGTATAATAGAGAATAAGATATTATTATCTCAACAATATTGGTTATAATAAAGAAGAATTATATGTATGTAAAATTTGTCCTTCAAATATATTTTTATCGATAAAATATAATATGAATGAATATCAAGATATAAATACACTACCAACAACGACAACAACAATAGCAACAACATCACCATTATTTAGTAGTGATTTTGAAGAACGAACAAACGATAATATAATTAAAATATATGATTTATTAGTAAGTACAATAGCAATCACTTTCTTATTGATTCATTTTTAGTTCTAAATGTTTTTTTAAAGTAGATTATAAGGAGAAAAAATTTCGATATCTGTTTTTATTATCTGAATATTATTTATTTATTTCAGTTTCGAATGAAACAAGACGATATTTATTTAACTGAACAATTCACACAAATTTACAATGATATTTGTCATTTACGACAAATTTTTGAATGTTCAACAATACATTGTCGTGATAAACGTGCTGAAAGTGAACCAAATATTATTGATAGGCAATAAAACAGACAAAAAATTCGGTATTAGACCGACAAATAAGTAAAATTGTGTGATTATCTTACCGGTGTAACACAGTTATCATATAGATTAATATTCTTGTTTTATTTTTTAACCGATTATTATTTTTCTTTTTTTTTTATCTCTCTACTTTTGGTATTGAAAAATTATTTTTAAAGAAGTGATGATGGTTATAAACCTTATAAAAAAAAACGATAGTTATTTAAGACTTATGCATAAAAATAAACTTTAAACATGTAGTAATATCAAATTCCAAATAAATTTGCTCTTTGAACATTTTACACGGTATTTTTTTTTTTTGTTTGTCTTCATTTTTTTTGATCTTTTATCATAAAAATGAGTGATTAACAACAACTTACTATTGGTACAATAACTGTAATTCCTCCAAGTGATAATGTTAAATTAAGAGCCATGTGTATATCTTGAAGTTGTTGAAAATAATTTATTTTATATTCACGATAAAATATTTCACTTGCAGATCGAATCGATTCAAACTGTCCTACAAAAAATAAATAAATAAAAGTAAACATCAGTTTATATGTCGGTAAAAAAAAAGAAGAACTCGATCCATCATCATCTCTATCTTTCTGTATAAATACCATAATAGTGATGGGAATTGACGGCCGCATGAATATGAGGATGTACTTGACTTGCTCCTCCGTGGGGAAACATATCAAATAGTAGTACTGGAAACTGATGTAATGGTGATTTTTTATAAACAGCACGAATCCTTAAAAATGATAAATTAAATGAAATAAAACAAGTAATTAAATTAGTAAGACAATATTGATCTTTACCATTTCCAAGCAAGTTTGTAAACATCATGGAATTCCTCAAGTGTCACATTTAATATATTATGTTGTCTAGGCATAAACATTGAATGCCATGTATCAAATTTGAAACTAGAAATATATAATTTATTTTCTTTTAGATATGAAAACAAGTAAAGCGTGACAAAAATGAATTTTCTCGAGTACAAGCATCACGTCTTAAGAGAGATTTTTTGGCTAGAGTGAGGATTTCTGTCAAAGAGGTCAAATTTATTTTTCTTCAAAACGACTTCTATTCGATTGAACATACAAAATTAGGTATACCATTTTCTATTTAGACTCTAGAATCTTTTGGATGTTGAAAAAGTCAAATTTTCCCATAAGTCCCATCGGTTTTTCTCAAAAATGTTCGCCCATTTTTGTGTATTTTACCTATAGTTCTGCGAATTTTTGTTCAAATTCTTTGAACAACATCTCATTCGAAAGAGCGAAAAAACTGAATAAAATGACATATCTTTTATAATTTTGAAGCTAAAAAAATTATGTTGAAAATTTAAAACTTTAAAGTTTTTGAAATTTTAAAAACCTAGTTTCTTTTCGAGTAAATCAAAATTTTAGTGCACTGTGGTTACTTTAGCAAGCACAAATTTCTCAACCAACAATCCTAAATAACCGATCACAGTCGAGTTTTCTGAAAAAACGCCGGAAAATCTAATTTTCCCGATTTTTAGCTAAAATGTTTTTCGAAAAATCACTGAAACACACATAGTTCGATTTTGTTTTTCACGCTGATAACGAATATCAACTTTATTTTGTCTCTGGACAAGTTCAAAGGGATCAAATTGCAAAATATTCATATTTTTTTTAACAGTCACTTTCGACTAGTCCACCTTGTTTGCACTTTTTTCCTATTAGATAAAAGTTTTTTCTAGAAACTTTTGCGTCAAGTTTGTTCAAAATTGCTAGGGCTACAAAATACACTTATTTTGATTTGATTCCGGAGGTATTAAGTGCACTAAAATTTCGATTTACTCGAAAAGAAACTAGGTTTTTAAAATTTCAAAAACTTTAAAGTTTTAAATTTTTCAAAATCATTTTTTAACTTCAAAATTATAAAAGATATGTCATTTTATTCAGTTTTCTCGCTCTTTCGAAAGATGATTCGAATTCACTATGCACTTTTCTTTTTTAATTCTATTGTGATTCCAGTAACCTTCCGTACTATTTATTATTAGTAAAGCAGGAAAGTTTAAGTACTAATAGTTTCCACATGCCTATTTATTCAATACTTGTACTACAACTACAATTTTAGTTCAATTTATCTTAATTTATTTGATTGTTTATTTACTAATTTCTTTCTTTTTTATTCATTTTTATTTAATTTTTTTTATGATGTTTGCTAATTAGTCTTCCGCATTTTTTTACTCGATCTCTGTTCGTAGAGAAAATTTTCTCCAATATATTGCATGAGTGATCGAGTACGAAGCCTCGAGTATGAATAGGAGTATGTATTCGTACAGTTCTGAAAACAAACATATAAAAAAAGAACGAATCTAATACATACGCATTTGATGCTGAAAATGCGTGTACACTTTCAAATCTTCCTAATGGATCAGTGGCAGTAAATCTAAAAGCAATTCAAAATATAATTTTATAATATTATTATCGAAAATTTCTCATTTACTTTTTATAATTGCAAAAGTCACATGATTGTGAACTTTGATTTATTAATTCACTAATACTAATAAAATAGAAAACAAATAAGTAGTTAGTGATAAATGATAGATTATTGGATAAAAAACCAATAATAACTTACTAACTAGATGCTGAAATCAATGGTTCAGTAATTGGACGTTTGCCACGTATTGGATTGTAAACAGTATGTTCGAAAGAAAATTTATTAAATACAAAATGTAAATCCTAAAAAACAGAAAGAAAAAGTATAATGCATTAATTTCTAAAAATAAATATATCAAAAATAAAAACGAATCGATAACTATAAAAGACAAAAATACTGATCTGATGTCGACAATGGTAATAATGACTAGAAGAATTGTAGAGTTACACAAAAATACATATTACGAAAGGATTTTCTCCTGTTATCTAATCTTATTTAAGTAAAAAGTTGAAGTCTTGTTAGATCATTAACCTGATGTAATGCTTTGTTATATAATTGTTGATCTCCTAACCATTTTTTTACTTTTTTCTCAAATTCTGGCGGATAATTAATATCGGCTATACTGGATGAAATATTATAAATATTTTCTATAGCTAAAATAATATCTCTAAAACAAACAAGCAGCAAGTCTAATGAATGAACAATCTGTTTAGATAGGATTTACTTACTTACAAATTGTTTTTGTTGAATTTGGTTCATCTCGACGAAACCGAAAGAAACCATTTGATTTTAGACCGTTTATTAAGCATTTATGTTGAAATGTTGTCTAAATGAGAAAAACAAAAACAAATTCTATTTTCATTCATTACGTATCTCTCGATATACATACAATGTCAAGCACCGTATCAGTTAGAAACTCTGGCCATTTAGAGTATCCATGTAACGGATATTTCACTGTTTGTACGGATAATGTTTGATTTACATCGCTATTTCCATTATTGCCAGACAGTAATGACAATTTTACTATATCTGATTGCTGTACATATATCAAAGAATAAGTACAAATAGCACCGAGAATAGATCCTACGATCAGCCATCGTAATTTCACATCCCATCGACGATCAATTAGTAATTTACGACTCGACGTTGCTGACATTCTACATAAATACAAAAAAAGATTAAAATGATTTAGATTATTTTTACTATTCTCACACAGTGATATGAGTAAAACAATGTGTAACATGATTTAAAAAGAATTTAATCATCACTCACATAACATTATTTATCCGCAAAATATCATACTTGTTTGAAACAAATTAATATTTAGCGCCATCATGAAAATATATCACAGAACTAGTCAATAATAGATGAGATACAACAAAAGATGTCAGAATGTTTAAGTACTTACGCAGACAACTGTCCAGTACACATTTAAAATACAATATCTAAAGAAAAAAATGAATTAATAGCATAACGATTCTAGATTAATTAAACTCATTTTACAGTTTCTTGAAGAACCGTTGTCTATTTCAGTAAAAAAACTGACAGTAGCACGCAGATTTGATTGATTTACTATTCCTAGTCGTTAAGTACATTTTAAACTGGATGAAGAATCCAATTTCTTCATCTAAATTGAAATAAACGTTTTTGCTGAGAAACCGATGCAATAAAAAAAGAGAAAAGTGCCAGGACAGTTCAATTAAAACCGTCACAAGAATAAGGAGAAAGCGTAGTTGTTTGTTGCGCACACTGAAGTTTAGAGTCTTTCAGACTTTTCTTAAACTTTATCTGAGAGTACCTTTGAGGACTTCTTTCTAACTCAGAACAATCAGCGATGTTGCTCATATTTAAGAGTACGGCTTGTCCAAACGTAACGGCGTGACATTTTTGACATAGTAATTCCTAATCTTTATAGAAACTATAAGAGGTGGAAGGATGATTCTACCGCCATTTTGTGCAGTTGCAGAGACACTGTCCTGTCTCTGATAAAAAGAAGAGAAAATTTGGGTAATATTTACGGCTTTGGGAAGGGATATTCGTTGCGTGACGGAAGTGATAGAAAAAGGGCCTGCTCATTTAATAAAGAGACCTTTTTGTCCGATTTTAGATAAGTACCCTAAATTACGAGTACATTCAATTAAATGGTAATTTCCTGCGAAATTAATTGAGCAAATGGAAACTCTCTAAAGCGAATATTTTAGAGAAGCTTACGAGCTATTCAATATTAAAAAAAATGTTCTTCCAAAGCCTTTCCCTCGCTTATGAATGTCAATCAATAAATGTAACGGCGTGACAGACTTTTTTGTCAGTGAATTTTCAGGCACTCAGTATCCTCCAAAAAACTTGATTTTTATATTTACCATAGATTTGGTGATATTCTATCAGTTTATGTGAAAAATAAAGTTGAAAACTTTTTTTCAGGTTTTTAAACTTGACTGGAACCTTGAAATATCGAAAACGTATAACTTTTGTTCCTAAAGTCAAATTGTCGAAAAAATATAAGCCATTTTGTACAGAATTTAATTTTCTATCAAATGGTGTAAGTTTTAAATTTTTTAAAAACGTTTCTAGGTCAAAAATTTTGTCAAAATTTTAAATTAAAATTATTCCACTAAAATTTTTATTTGTTAAGGAGGTTGGATTCCTAATCAGTGCGAAAAACTGCATCTAGTGATGTGCTCATATCGGTTCTCAGATAACCGCGTTACGCGGACAAGCCGAGTACACCTCTTCTTTTTTGACTCTCTTGAAAGTCGGGGAAGCCGATGGTTGATCGGGCTGAAATTTATCCCAGAGATAAAACATCGAAAAAGAAAATTAATGTATTTTTGCCTAGAATTTTTGGTCATATCCTTCTATGAGTTTTCTGGAAGAATCTGGTTTTCATCCAGTCACATTACGATCCCTCGAAAAAATGGTCCGATCGAGCTGAAAATTTTACCACAGATACTTTATCTCAGGTTTGTTTTTTTCTTTTCGAAAAATATGCTTTCCTTCTCGAAATATTCGAAAAATACTAAAAATCCTGTATAAAAATACGTTTTTTTATTTTAAAAACCTTCTCACGTCGAAAGCTGAAATCGAAAAGTCGAAGAGGTCATAGTGTGACTGGATTGAAGAGACTATCGAAAAAACGCCTAGTGAGGAAAACACATATTGTATAAAGGGCTCTGTTTTTCAGGGCATTTGCGGTGATGTTTATATCTACACAGAAACTCTGCAATTCTGCAAGACATCTCATTTTGAAGGGTACACTTTCTTCTATTATGCTATCTATAAGAAAATTTCCGAAACTACAAAATTGAGATTTTCTGGATTTCGAAGGAAAAATTTAAAAGCTTCACAATTTTTTCAAGGAAAGTTGTCGAGAGCTGGGGATGGTCTCATTTTATAGCCCAAACTTTCCTGTACATTAGACTATGTTCAGCTCAAAATGAAAAGTTTTTACAAGAGAGGAGGGTACCCTTAAGATGGTTCATATGAACAAAAGATTTCCTAACATCAGCATGAAATTTCTCATTTGACAAGCACACACTTCTTATGCTTAAATCTGTAGATTCAGTCAACTTTTAAGTTAATATTTCTTAAATTTTAAGTCTTATCGGATATAGATATAGCTTCTAACTAAAATTTGCTTTCTCTAATCAGGTTTTATATATCTTTTCTCATACGACGAAAATCAATCACTCCGTAAGACTAAGACAGCTGTTTATAACACTGACGATTCAGTTATAAGAAGTGAGAGACAAAAGTACTTAACCTGTAATATATAATATGACTCAAACCAAACAAAAAACAGAAGTGATGGGCAGAAAAAAGGACAAAAGAAACTGATATCACTGTAGAACTTGACATCAGAAAGTGAGTGACCATGCCGTTCACTTTTCTGTATTGTATATAAAGGAAAGTGGATGAATTTCCTTTGTTTATCACTCATCGCTCACCTTAACAGATCAAAAGTGTTACTCCACTGAGTGATCGGTAATCCATTTTTGTAGAGAGTGCCACTTATCAGAGTGGATTACCGATCACTCAGTAGAATAACATTTTTGATCTGTTAAGGTGAGCGATGAGTGATAAACAAAAGAAATTCATCCACTTTCCTTCATTCAATTCCCTTAGGGGCGACAATAGTTTTAGAACGTGGCACAGTGGGTCAGCGTTTTCGATATAACTTTGGCAAGATGGGGGAAGTTTTATTGAACTCTAAAAATTTTTCTGAGTGAGCTAATTATGAACTGGGTCATTTTTTTTCTCAAGTGAGTAATCCATTTCAAACAAGGTGGAAGAACCTACCTAATCGAAAACGCTGCAGTAGGCAGTTTTTACTAGACAAGCGCACATGTGCCGTAAAACTGATACGAAAGCATCTAGACACTATTTTTATATGTTTTCGTATGCGCTCTCTCTCCAATGGTGTGATTTACAAAGTTCAAAATCACTTTTAGTCGGGTTTTCCAGCGACCGGATCTTTGGAAAATCCTAATAAAAATATCTTTGAACTGTTAAATGACACCGTTCGAGAGCGCGCATACGAAAACATATAAAAATAGTATTTAGATGCTTTCGTATCACTTTTATGGCACATGGCCACGTGCCTAGCCAGAATTGCTACGTGAATGCTGCAAATCTGTCATTTCATTAAATCTGATGGCATGTTGCGATACGCTTAAAAGTCAACAGCATGTCGCGATTTTTCATCGGTTCTGCTTTTTTTAAAAAGTCAGTCGAGCCGATGACTAATCGGCTTTCTATTCATTCATCGTTTTGCTTTGCAGTGAATCAAATATATAATAAGCGCAGCGTTTGACGGAGAATTGATATTTTCTCACGAGTAGGATCGTGTCTGATTTTTCTCAAAGTTATACGAGTTAACTTAGCCGGGGAGCTAGATAAAGAACGAAACAAAACAATCACCAATATGTCGCGATTTGTCGTCTCAAATGCTAAAAAGTCGGCGACTTCTCGCGGCATATTGACCAACGTTTATCACATGGGAGAACATCAGCAGAAGTACAGACATTCAACATCTCGAAACTTAGATGTACTCTGTCACTTTAACAAACTTAGTGTAACTTGCAGATGACCACAGTATTCTCCTAGTGCGTTGAGTGAAAATCAACAATTTTTTTGCGAGTGCTGACCAATGGGAGGTGTGAGCTTCTTTCGACTTGTGAAGGAAAGATGTTGAGCAACTGATTAATCTACTCGTAAGTGTAGTATAGCAAGGAGCCGAGCGTTACCTAGTGTGTTATATATATAAGGCCTTGTCTACACTACAAAAAATAAATGAGCTTTAAGCAATTTTGTTGGCTGAAAGTTAAAGGAGAAGTTAAGTGATCTTTTCGACGGATCCTTTAACTTCTTCCTTAACTTTCTTTAAAATGTTGTCGCCGTGTATTGTTTTTATACATGTATTCTAGTGCTGTCCTCTGTCCTCAGTCAATTTATGTTAAGATGTAATGGGTTCGCCTCCTTCTTCTCATAATTTCTACTGATTTTTTCAACTTTTCTTCTAAATAAATAAAGTGTATACCAACTTTCTTTAATTATGACTGGTCATTACAAGCCCCTAACAAGCTTGCGCTAGACAGCGAATGTGGCGTTATTTTTGCGTACAGAAACAACCTGTTGGTTTTCTCTATATCAGCTCATGGATACAGCAAGGACTGAATTGCATATCATATTTTCTATCAGATGTGCAGTGTACCAAACTATTGACAGTGCTAGGATGGCTAATTAATGCTCTCAAAGGGGGACATGTCAGTTATGACTTTATATTTGTTCTTTTTTTCTTATTTGCTTTTAAAAATACAACTTTTTTCCTGTTTTTTTTTCCTTTTTACTACTTCTGGTCCTAACGTTAGTTGTCTTGTTTATTCTGTTCTTTTTTTACTCTTTTGATGTTGTTTGGCTTGAGTCATTGTTATTACAGGGCGATGAACTTTGATGACTCACACTTTTCGTAAATAAAACAGTCTTAGTCTTAACATGGGGGCATGTGACTGATGCGTTAGCTTTTGTAGTGTAGACACCCTCCAGGTTAACTGGGGCCAGTTTCATCAAAAAACTTAAGTCTGACTTTAGTAAAAAACTAAGTTAAAGTTAGGTGGCATACTTAAGTAAAACTTAAGTTTCGATTTAAGTGTGTTTCAAAAAGTACAACTGCCTGTTTTGAAAGCGCTGTCTCACAGATGCAGTAATTCGATTTTTTTATTTTTTTAGATTGGTTTCTAGAATTTCTACAACTCTAGACAAAGCATCCTGTAGCATAAAGTCGTACAGCTGTCAACAATTTAATGACTGGAGGACTGGAAAGAGTTCTTTGAGTTGCACGAACTATTGGCAGCTCAACCAAATTCAATAAATCGATGATAGCTGCTTTTGAAGATCTGTATCTTGCCAAAATCATGTTATCTGTCATCATTTCCAAAGGATTTTGTCGGTCTTTAAATACTCGTTCTCTCTTTAATGCTCGTGCCGCGAAAAGGACTGCTTTTGCCATTTTAATCACTTCCCTTTTGAATACTTTTAGAACCACGGAAGGTTTTCGTTTTCTGATAGTTAAGACCGATTTGTTGACTTAAGTCAGTTACTTCGATGACTTAAGTTAAGTAAGAAATTAGGCATCACTCAAGTCATATATTACACTTAAGTTTTTTGATGAAACGCCATTTTTTATCTGTTTTAAGTTAAGTTTGACTTAAGTCACACTTAAGTTTTTGATGAAACTGACTGCTCTGAAAGTTAAAATCGAAAATTGCGTACTTAAGTGTAGACAAGGCCTACGAAACAAAACAGAAAAAAAATTGCTCGAATTATTACGACTGGTTAAACAGCGTAACTGATCGTTAATGGAAGCGATAGATGACACTAGTTGCTGAAGTTAATCAATTGCCGACATACAGCATTTTCTGGTGGTCACAAGAATTAGTAAATAGAGTATACGATTGCAACTTTTAAGAGTCTGTGTACAGTACCAGAAATAGATTTATGTCGTTTTTTAGAGCATCAGTGATGTGGTCGTGAAACGTATAAATTAATTCGTTCCATTGTCTAAGTTAGAAACATAATAGGTGTTAGGTCTTAGGCCTAACATACGTTAGTAACGCATTATGACTACAGAAGTCTCGGCACTCATATATTTAGTAGGTATAAATGAAATTTTATTTATTTAGAAAGAGAAAAAGGAATAGTCCAAATGATGATCAAAAAGTCCTTTTCTCAATGGGATTGTATGATCTGCATTCCAGAAACTGGACAGTTATTCTCTTCATCTCAAGCAGCAGAAAAGCATTGAGTATCGCCTAATGCATCTAGATATTTTCTTTTTATTGTTTTTACAACAGGTGATTGATAAACACAGTGATTTTCGTGACAGTTATTATTCACTACAAAATCGTTGTATGTTTATACATAAATGTTTTTTATAGCATTTTGTTGGTAAATCTATATTCAGATGTTGTTTTTGTACATTATTATTACATGCGACAGAGTTCATGTGATTGATGAAAACGCAATTTTTATTAGTCAGTTACATGTTTTATATAAACGCCATTTGTATAAAAGTTATAGTAGTATGGTTTATACCTGTTATGTCAATGTAACTTTCACTTTTTTTAATTTTCTTTTATATACACTAAGAAGAACCTAATGTAATCAGCTAGACGGCTGAATCGCGTAACTCTGCTACCGGAGTGTGAGTGCTTTATCGTTTTTACTCTTTTTGTTTATGTTATAGTATTTGAAAAGCACACTTTTAGCTACAAAACAAGACGTCTCTCAAATTTCTACAATATTCTTTTCAGATATTGTAACATGAACAAAAAGGGCAAAAACGATAACGCACTCACATTCCGGTAGCAGAGTTACACGATTCAGAGCTAATTTTTGATTTTTTAACAAAGTAATCAATAAAGTACACAAATATGAACAGAACTAAGGAGGCCATAGCAAGACAAATCTGGATTCTCGTGATTGCATAATGTTCTGAAAGTTTATTACCAAAGTAAATCTAAGATCGTTAGGATGTTGTTGTTTCCTTATCAACATTGATCATAGGTTTATGTGCTCCATAATGCTTATGTGAAAATATAAAAAGTAAATTTAATATTTCAATATATAAAATGAGATCGTATCCCATTAAATTAAATTTTCCGATTCAGAAGTAAAAGTTCTAAGCAGCTCATTTAGCTCTAGATGTGGTGAGAGAACCAGGACAAAATGTTCTAAAAAGGACAATTTCCGCAATTTCAGAGTTGATTCCGGTCGGATTTTTCAGCTCTGAGTTAGTTATTAGAAGAACAGCTTCATGTAAATAACAAAGATTTCTAAATTTTGACAAAAATTTTGAATAATACAAAAATTAGATAACTTTGACTATTAGAAATATTTCATGAACTGGTCAATCGGTTGATGGTCTGCAGAACTAGTCGACCAGTTCCAGCGTTGTCAATGATGATACTTGTATTGTATCTGTAGAGTATAAGGGAAATAATTCAGTCATACTTAACTGTAAGTATCATACTGATTTAAGCACTCGAATTTTATTAAAATCTTAGGAAAGACATTCAGCGTAATAAATGCTTAAATAAACGAATGCTTAAAACAGTAAAAGTGAGCTGCAAGCTGTTTCTGGAAAAATGAATCAGGAGGAAGTTTTCTTCTAGAAAATGACTTGAGTCAATTTTTGATGCGACACGGACCTGGACTCGAAGGCTCCTGATTCGGACTCGAAAAAGTGATGATTAGCCATTTCTGGAACAACATTATCAAAGATGTATTCATATTCTAGTTCATTGCATGTGATGGTGGTCCATCATCACGTTCAATAAACTAAAATATGAACATCATTGGTGGTATAAAACGTTTGTCACTATACAGACTTATAATCGAATCTCTATCAATACCATTCGGAAAAACGTACATCGATTTCATTTAATTTCGGTGTAGTTGCACGTATGAGTAGTGATTCCTTAACAAGTAAACGATACTTATGCTGTTCTCTCATAACAATTCGAAAATCGCATGCTGTTATAGTATGTTGATGTACAGTGTCTGCCAACAGCTGATTTGGCAGTGAACTACTGTTCATTTGTACCGTTTTTTATATTTGCATATGTAGCAATGATATCATCTATTTCATTATGATTTATTTTTAACAATGATCATAATAATTTGCCGGTCTGTGATCGTGTAATTAGTCTAGAACGCTGATGGATATCTCTTTTTTGAGGTTTATACAAGTAGCTTCATACACGGACCCTGATTTCGCAAAAACAAAAGTTTGTGGAGCTAAAGATGGCTCTTTTTACCATATCTTCTACTGTTGATTTGGATCAGAATTATGCAAAGTATAATCATAAAGTCTACGACAAAAAAATAGTAGTAGGTAAAATATTATTAAGAAGCCTTTACTTTGCTCAGGAATTGTTGATATTTTACGCCGAAAAAGTGGAATTCGTATATCTCACGAACCATCCACTATAAATTATTGAATTATTATAATTATAAAAAGTTATTCATTGAAATAAAGACAATATATTTTTGAAAATTCAGCTTTATTCTTTACCCTGCTATTTATACATACTATTTAAAACATAGCCAGTTATATTATCCAGTTATACTGATTTCTGTCAGTGGCGGATCCAGAATTATTCTTTGGTACATGCGGTATACGATAAAAGTGTGAGATACGTGCGGTCGTCATAGAAACAAATTATTATAAGAGAGTTCTGCTGGGAAAAAACAGTTTGTTGGCTAAAAGGTACGAGCGGGAGCTCGTACCGCTCGCGGGCTGTATCCGCCACTGAATTCTGTATGAAACGTATACAAATCAAAAACACGAAGTAAAGTAGACAATCTGTACACTAAACACTTTCGCCAAGTTCTTTTTTCAAGTTTTCTAAACTTGTTAAAAAATAGTCGATTCGTCTTGATAAATTCTTATCATTAATTATTTGTTGGTTTCTATAAATACTTTTTATTTTCGATTGTTTGGCTGATATTAATGCTGTTCGTGCACGTTCTATTTTTGATTTTGTCATTGTTACATTTATTTCCGTATCATTTCGATCGTACGCCGGTAATTTTCCAGCTTTAACAGCTAATTTCAATTGTCTGTAACGTTTGGCAAATATAGGATCATGTAGTTTTGCATTTTCAATTATTTCTGGAGTGAGAAATGCTTCAATTTCTTGACGACGGCGAATTGATTCACGATACTGACGTTCCAGTTCAACATCGAGAAATTGTTTACTACTACGCCGCTTAGCTTTTCGTTGTTCTGCTTTCCATGCTAGCCACTGTTTTCTTGCTTCATCTTCGTCTTGCAAAGCAAAAACGCGTAATTTAACTGGCCATGAAATTCTTGTGCTGGAATAAGCTGCTGATGATTTATTATCTTCGTAATCTTGTTGTGAAATTGACGGTGGATAATTCGAGAGTTCAGTTGTTGTTGAACGCATAGCGGATGTCAAGCGTGAGTTAGGAGTCGTCGATTGAATATGAATTGGGATTATTTCATCGTCACTCGTGTCATCGTCACTGAGTTCACCATGATATATTTTGATTGGTGCTGTTGATGGTCGATTTAACAATCCACTTCCGGCAGACTGAACACGATTAGGTCGAGCAAAACCAGAATTGATGCCAACTGGACGCTGACGATTACGACGAGGACTGGATAAGTTTAGCTACAAGAAAAAAGTACAAATTTATTCAATGAAGAGTATGAAGATCTTAGAACTCATAGAACTGCCAAGATTCAGACTTACTCGTACGCCAAATCGATAAAAATCTTTTTCTGAAAAATCAAAATGTTCAATTTGCTCACTCTTCTCTTTTCGTAGTTCTTTCATAAATTCTTGTTCTTTTGCGGTTTCATGAGCAACATGTTGCTCATATTCCGTGTTTAATGAGTTTAACAGACATTTACATTTATTCAATTCCACTCTATTTTTATAAACAGTTTTTCGTTCATTAAATACTTTTTCGAGGATACGAATTTTAACTTTTGGGTTTGATGAACCCAAAGTTTTTCGTCCAAATAACATAAAATCAAAAGATTTTCCAGCACTCATAGTGGAAATGGAAAATGAAAATATGTCGATCGTATCCAGTACATTTTCTATTTAATTCTTCTTCTTCATGCTTTAATTTAATCGCTCAGCAGGGCATATCACTCGAGTTTGATCGAACGGATTCTGTGTTTAATAAACAATAAAAATTACCTGACAAGAAAGTCAGTAAGTAAATCAAACTACACAAATGAGACAAAATGTAGAGGTGAAGATATAAATCTACTAATAATAAATAAAAGAGCTAGTACTGCTCTTAAACTGTAAATAGTATAATTTTGTGCCTTCCTCTCATATTGTAGACAGTGTGTGATATGACCTGCTGAGCACTTAAATTAACGCATGTAGACGAATGTTCATACTTTAAATAGAAAATGTACTAGGTGCAATCGACATATTTTCATTTTCTATTTTCGCTATGAGTATTAGAAAATCTTTTGATTTTTTCATGTTATTTGGATGAAAAATTGGGTTCACCAAATCGAAAAGTTCTCTCATAGACACTCTCACATCACGTAAGAGCATTGAGCTAACAAAGTAGATGGAATCGAAGGATGCTGTTTCGAATGAAGATAGTGAGAAATAAAGATCTTGTTTCTAAGAGATGACAAAAGTTGTATTTTATTTGCTGAGAAAAACGGGTTAAATGTTGAAAGAGGAAATGAATGAAAAGAATCGCAATATCCATGACAATATTCATTTTCAGAGTAATTTTGCTTGATGGAATAATACCTGTCTGTTGAAGAAAAATTCCTCGGTATTACAAACAATTGTTTGATTATCATTTAACCATTTTTTAAGATCATGAGCCATTGTTCGTCTTTTTGACGATGCTGAATCACTTTGTTCATTAATGTGTTTGACAATAACTTTCAAACGATTAAACTCTAATTTATTTCTAATCGTAGCATTATATTCATTGTGAGTTAATTTTATTTTTGTAGTCATTATATTATCTTCATCATCAATATCACCAACTTTGGCTGCCATTCTTAAATTTTAACGCTCGATAAAAATATTACTTGTACTTGTACAAAAATTCACAATTAGATTCTCAATTGAATTTTTCCTGTCTATTAGTATTTCCTAATAGAAATAATTGTTACTGATATCCGTTTGGTTTCAACACACATACACAGACAAAAGAACAATTTTTTACGGAAATAAATGAAGAAAAAATATTACCGTTTTCTTTTAACGGCATAGAAAAATGTATCGCTAGAAAAGCCGGAGGATAAACTATGAACCCTGGACGTAATGAGAACTGGATAAACGTTCAAACGTTTTTAATACTGAAGTGTAGAACAATGTACATTTGCCTGAAGTACCTTTCCTAGTTTAATTAACCTCTTGAATGCCGCTATTTTTCCTCTTCCGCGTCCAAAGGCATGCATATGGAAAAAAACGATTAAATATCTCTCTTTGCGTTCGGTTGTTTCGTCACATGTGTTCCTCTGGCACTTTTTTTTCGTTAAAACGATAGAACGAAAAAGCATATGCAACATATAAAATTTCCTTCATGTTATCTATAGATGCCTTACGGCATTCAAGAGGTTAAACAGCACAGGTATTAGAACGTACTTGATTTCGAATACCGAAGATTATTAGTTAAAATTTTAAAATTTGCTTCGAGAAATTTGTGTTTCAAAACAGTGTATTCGTTTTCTAACATAGAGTTCTTTAACTAGTCATATTTTGATAAATGGTATAGAAGTTTTTGCTGTTCACGTGACTTAAAACATGTTTTGGTATTTTTTCTTTTGAAATATGTATATGTATATGTCACCTTCAAAACTCCAATCCAGAACAATCTTCGATTGGCCTGAACCAAATTTAAATTTGAATATGAACTAGTTGAAACTTCGATCTTAGCTTGACCTCTAATTTTAGTAGTTCAAACTACGATCGGATTTCGAGTAGGTCAATTTTTAACCTCTCTCCGTGTTATCATAAATTCGAATGTTAGATCGCATGTTATTATAATGAGATAAAGGGGTATGTTGTTCCGATGTTGCTTGTCACAAGGCTAAATCAACTCTCGGTTTCTGCCCAAATACAATTTTGAAAGGACGGGGAAACGGGAAAACTGTTATAAATATCTGAAAGGTGGATTTTTTGCCAATGTTCTGTTGCAACATTTTACAAGGGCCAAATTGATGAGACAATGCTATCAGATGTTCAGCCATATTCTTAGTCTCTTTTGTCTGCAGTACAGGTCTCCATGAAATATTTGAAACATGATCTCGTACATGAAGAACACATTTAAATTCACTGTCAAGTCTTGTTCTTAAGTCAATCAGATCTATTTATAATTTTGGCAAAAAATAAAAATAATAAGATGAAGCTTTTCTCTGATTACTGTATGTTCCGCATTTTTCTTAAGAGAAATTCTCTCAGAAGAATTTTCCACACCGTACAACCGATTTACACGAAATTTTGGTGATGAGACCCTATGTCATGAAAAGATCATGATTAAAATTTCGGCTCAAAGTACTGAGTTGTTCAGGAGTTATTGATATCGCAAGGAGAAAAATGAGACTGTTCGTGAAATACATTGTTCTTGGAATGGGCAGTAGCTTCGGAGCTCGGATTTGTTGTAAATGGAACTAATGACCATCTCAGAAGTATCAGATGCATTTGTTGAATTTCGTCTCCGTTAGTTTTTGGTACATTTTAAGTCTGTGTAAAATCGTCTGTCACTTTGTGCATTTATGTTTTAGCTATCAAAAAAAAAAACAGAAGCTCATGATGTTGAGTCATTTCTGAGCAAAATGTACCTTACTGCACGATAAATGCCTTTTGAGAAAAACATAAAACAAGTTTGAAGTTTATATTGCATAGTTCTCTCAGATGGAAACAAAATAAGTCGTGCGAGAAAAACTCTCATAACGTAAGGTTTTCATAGAGAGCTATACAGATTCTAAAAAAAGACACATCAGACTACCTATTCATGCAAAAAAAAACGACTCACATGATAGTAGCAAAGAATCTCTTTACTTTTCATTTACATAAACAGAGAATACACGTATGACAAGCAGGAAAATATTTGTTCTTTAGCATTTAAATAGTGATTGTAAAGATTCTCAAGTCCTATTTTTCAACAAATCCGATATTTCTTTTTCATTAATATCCAGTTTATCAAAATGTTCGTGAACAAGAAACTAGGTCTCAACTAGTTCTCAAAATCTCAAAAACAAATCTCTTATCATAATCATAGTCAAACAATTCGGTAAAGTTTCTACTAATTAATGTTGTCTAAAGCAACGTCTTTGCTTAAATTAAGCGCCTTTGCTTAAAACTTCAGGCATAAAAAAGTTGAATTCATCTATCATACTCTTTAAAAAAAAAGGTATATAGTTTGTACGAAACTTTAAAAAGGTATATAGATGGTGACAAAAGTTTAAACCTTTTGTAGGTTCGGTAGAGTACCTTTTTTTTTAGAGAGTAGGCACCGCCAAGTGCAGATGACAGTTCAGAACCCAGAATTTCACTAAACATGCTCGATCATGTGCAAAACAATAGCGCATGAACAAGGATTATTAGAATACACATAGGGAGAACAAAAGAGAAGACAATAACTGAGACTGACGAAAATGTTGCACAATACTTTTGGAAGATATGACAAATAATATTGAAACTATAGGTTCAGTATAGGTTAATAAGGTCTTGTATCCCGGAGAGATGAGTTCGACCATGCTTTCAATGCTATAAGCTCTGAAGCTAACGAACTTTCAAAAAGCATCGAATTGAGTTCTTCTGCGCTTACATGATGTATTCAAAACTTTCTTTTTCTATAAACTTTTTATGATCTTTTCTAACTAACAATTATCGTTTTTCAACGGTTTTCCTATGCTAGCATATTACTCACTAGAAAGGTGGATTTTGATGGATTTGAACTTTTTGTGTCATTGCCCTTTTCATAATCCATCAAGTTTAATGTTATTTTTAATTAAAAATTACCTAAATCTTTTAATGATTTGTTGTGACCACAGTAAAGCTCTATAGAAATTGATAGATAAAATCTTTATTTATTGACTTTTGTAGCAATGTACAAAAAAAAATAGTATCTTAGCTACTATATCAGATAGGGCAATCAGTACACTTTATAAACATCCAAAATTTCCAATTCTAATAATAATTAACAAATTATATTTTTTGACATTTACTTTTATAAAAAATTGAATTGAATGAATGCTTAATAACGATTTTTTAAATATTTATCAACAATTTCAAATGCAATAGGAATCTTAGAACTAGTTGAACGTGAATGTTTTAACATTGAATTCATCCTCATCCATAAATCGTGTAGTATTTTACAAATATATAGTTGATTATTATATACTTTTAATTTTAAATACATTTGTAATGGAACATCTTTATAATCATTCAGTTTCGTTGAATAAACTTCGTTTAATTCCTGCATACCTTTTGTACATTCGGCTCTTTTAAAATCTTTAATAATTTCAACAATATTTGTTTTATTAACGTATTGTAATAATTTGAACGGTCGATATACAGAATAAGATGTAATAGATTCTAATTGAATATCCAAATCAAGTACTGAAGATATATCAACTAATCCTTTCAATTGTTCACGTCTAAATATATATGAGATAAAAAGACAAAAGATAAAGAACAAAATTAGCGTGATTATAACCATTTTTCCGCTAGATTGAGTACAATCTTTCTTTATCTGACGAACCTCATTTTTCCTAATTTTTCAAATAATTTACCAAAACCTGATAATTGTCCACTTCTCAACAGTACATAATAGGCAGTCTCATATTGAATATTTCGTTCAGATAACCATCTTATTAAACCGCTAATCGAATCAGTTTGTGAACCATCATTATTTGTATTCTTCAAATTAGTGTCTACTAAATCTATCGTTTGATCTTGAAATGACGTACGAGGAATATAGTTTAGAAAACAAAAAGTTAGTAATAATGAGTACAAGTTTAACATGTTAAAAGACTAGATTCTTTATTTTTTCTTTTATATTACCAACATGAAAATTAACTAAAACTTGCTAAAGGTAAAACAAAAGAAAACTGAATCATCCTTATCAGTATAATTCATCATATGTTAAGCAACTTGCATGATGTATTGATGTAATAGCTATTTCTCAATTTGAATATTTGGAGATAAAATTTGACTTGACAAACACACTTTATCTGTGGCAAATGCATGCCTTCAACCATATATCTTGTTCTTATAGGTCATAGTGTGAACCAGAGGTCATTATCGGACGAAAATTCCATAGAATCTCGCAAGATAAGATAAATTTTTTCAAAGTATCCATGAGACGGGACTGGTCAAAATAAAAAATTTCAGACGATGCATGAGATTTCGACAAAAATTTTGGCTTTTTGCTATTGACGCTCGAGTGAAATATGTCTGTCGAAGAAGTTTTGTCTAATGTTACCCCACCAGTTGTTCGAGGGGTACTTTGAATACTCGAAAATATGCTTTCGATGGGCCTTCGCCGAGGGCTCGAACCCTCGGAAAATGACACTTCGGACCCCTGATATAAGCTTTTGAGGGGTATCGATTTCAAGCCCACGGATTTCAGATAGGTAGCGAGCCGTCGAGAAAAATTTCGAGCGGTCGATCCGAGATGTTCGAGACTTTAGAGTCCTCGTCGCATCCTCGGGGGAGCGAGGGCTCGGAAGCCCCGAACATCTCTGTTCGACGGCTCGAAATTTTTCTCGAGGGCTCGCTACCTATCTGAAATCCGAGGGCTCAAAATCAATACCCCTCGAAAGTTTATATCGAGGATCCGAAGTGTCATTTTTCGAGGGTTCGAGCCCTCGGCGAGGGCCTATTTTCGAGTACTCGCCGCATCCCTCGAACGACTTTTTTCATCTGCATGGGTACCTATCCATCGTCTTGTAATCCCTTGAAAAATAACATGTCTCTTCAAAAACGAAAATAATCCATATTCGATTATTGAAAATAACACAAAAAGTTCGAAAGAACTTTGCTGGAAGGTTTTTCGAACATCTTGCGAAGAAAAGTGGTATCAATGGATTGAAACGAATGGAAGTGTTATGTCAGTTGTTGTAACTGAAAAAAAAATGACTATTAAGGAAAGATCAATAATTTTCAGGGTCATATGGTATTTGAATAACATCAAAAGTATATTTTTTAAACACAGTTTTTCACGTAGAATAAGAATAAAAATGCTTCAAAATTACCAAAAGCAGTACGTGAGACATTCACGCTCATTTTTAAAAAATAAGTCGTTTTTCAGGTTTTAAGAAATATGAGTTTTTTCAAATTTTCGACCTTAAAAATTTTTTTAGAAGGTTAAATCACATATATTCTGATACAGCTCGACGAATTCTATCCAACCATACATAATTATCATGATAAAAAAGTTTTGTTCGACCTTTGAATTAGCGGTACTTTACACTCCGTCAATAAATATTACTAGAAGAGTAGCCTGTTTTGTACGCGGGTTTTCATATCACACACAGCCATTAAAATAATCACTTTGGTAGCAAGAGATTCTGTTTTCCAACCTTTACAAAATCCTGTGCATAAGGTAAAGAAAGTCTAACGATATATTCTAATCGAAGCATATCATTAAATATACTAGACAAAATTCTGCGTCTTTCAAACCTAGAACGAAGTTTTAAAAGTTATTTTACAAGATTGAGAAAATCAAAATTTTCCACTTTGAGTTTGATGCCAAGTGACTGTATCTGAGAAAAAAGTTTAATGTGATCCTGTGGAATCGCTTGAAATGAAAATTATTTGAACTCTCATAGAACGGGAGTGGACGAAAGTTTTCTTTCGTAGAGCGAAATATTCATCCCATCCTGTCCCATGTTGGCCCCTGGTGTAAATGTTGAAACGTTGAACAAATTTTATTCCAGGAATACTGAAATGATGCATGTAAAAAGTCACTTCAATCACTGATCAGTTGACTTTCTTTCACTAATCTTTGACTTGTCCGTCTGCGCTAGCTAAGGACTGATCAGTTTCATCAACGATGAACCAGTCAACAACTAGTTCCTTTTTTTCTAACTAGTCAGAGACAGCACTCAGAACTTTTGGGACTAGTCGTGCTTGAGGAAAACTGTAAACGAGCACCATTCAGAAAACATTTTCAACATCTTTCATTTGATTCGAGTCAGACTTTCAGCAATCATGTGAAGAATCTATGATGATTATTTTAGCTTCAAATATGAAATCTTCCACAACTTATCGATAGTGGAAGGGACAAAATGGAACCGTCATAACTAATCCTGTTATTCATTCTCAGACAGTAGTTCTTCTAGTTAAGTCTCTTTTAAAATGTAAAGATGAGCTGAATTATCGTCATATCATTTCTTGTCGCAATTCGTCGTCCTTGCTTTTTATCATACATTTGAAGTCGAAAATGAAAAAAGAACGATTGTTGACGAATAAGGAACTCCTATACAAGAAAAATTTCTAAAAACGGTGGTGATCTTTTGTAGATGAAAATGTTCATCTTTTGAATAGAAAACGAATTATTTTTCATTACTTCCACGTGTGTCGCAAATACTGATTTATGCAGTGTCTTGATACTTTGTATGAATAATGTTTATTAGATAGGACAATATTTCCATAAAATTTCAAAGATATTTTAAGCTGTGCTATGTCTATATTTTTCAAAATAAAAAATTCAAACTGTTAAACGTGAATATTGATTGTAAAACGGCTGCAAGTTTTCAACCAATGACTACCGACGCATGAATTGTCCAGAGATAGTTAACAATGATCACTATATTTTGGTGTATAAGGTAAAAAAAGTAAAAACTGACATTATGTTAAAAATAATGAAAGCAAATGACTTGTATCTGCCTATGTATCTTAACATTTATTGTACATAAACGTTTAAACCAATAGATATTATGTTTTTCAAGATATAAAATTGTATGATACTTTTTATCGAATACTACACATAGTTAGTTGAACGTGAAGTTACTTGTGTATTTGTTCTAAAATCACAAAGTATGAAAAACGAATGAAACACAAAACATAAAATTTTCTATACGGTGATGAAAAAATTATAATAAAAAAAGCGATAAAGTGACAAAATAAAAAATAATTATTAATAAAAACGATTGTTTAAATTAAAAAATAGATTTCTCTCTCTCTATATATATATCTATATACGTTATATATATATATCACATTTTGTAATCGCATTGCAAAAAAGAAAAATAGACATATATTAAAAAAAACAATAGTTTTATAAACTTTTACATAAACAGTGACAATAACAACAGACAAAAATATATTGTTGTATGTTTTATTTAATCGCTATCGTCTTGTTCACTGCTAACAACAAGTGGCATCATTTCAGCATCAGATAATTTCTAAACAAATAATGAAAAAAAAAAAACATGAGTAGTCAAATTTTACCCATATAAAGTTATTTAATTGAGTTAGTAACACATCAACAACAAAGAAAGGAAGCGTATTCTAAAATTCTATTGAGAATCGATGAGAGAAATAACTAACTCTGAAAATATCGAATCAATTGCACAACTTCCATCATTTTAATTCATATACTTGAGTCTATGTAGGTATAAAATTGATTTTATGTTTTTCACAAAAGTTTAAGAATACTATAGTAGATTTATTTCTCCTTGTATTTTGGAAGAATAAAGCTTAAAAATAAGAAAGTTGTCTGCTTATTCTAATTGTAAAGATACAGGACAAGTCATGCATCCTTTTAGATAAACGTAGCAGACTTTGTTTTGATCGACTCAAAAAGATAGTCTAGTATATATGTTGACCACAATGGATATTAATAAGTTTTATTTTTTCAGAAGAATCGTCTTAACTAATTTTTCTGCAAAATAAAAAAGAGTGATTTTCTATCCTATCGAAAGTATTCTCACTTAATATGCGGTAAAAAGAGCAAGCGTACCAATATATATATAATAATATCGTAGGATAAATATTTACAAAAAAACAGCAGCAACAACAACGAATTTATAAAGCATTACATTCATGCGTACGAGTTTGAACACGTTTAATCGATTAATTATTACTAGCTGCACAACGCATGTCAGTATTTATTATTGTTAGTAAAATGATCTGAATATTTGAAGCATAACTTATGTAAAAAGAAAAGTTTATCTGTGGAGAAAAGACAAAGTGATGAAAACTTTATCTGCAGATAGATAGTGTGCTCTATTTTTTTGCCTAATGTTAATTATAGGCGAAACAAATATAACTTTCACATTGAACAATGGCAGCGATATCGATAAAAATTTTGGATCTATAATAAAACCAATACTGATATCTACCACTTTTTTCGAAAAATCTTTTTAGATTGACATGTTTGATTAATTTGATAACAACATAAGCAGCATGTAATAAGCGTAAGATAGGTTCAAATGCAACAAGAAGTAGCGCATCGAAATATATTTAAGCGTATTTGTATGAGTGTGTGTGTATGTGTATGTGTATATGTGTATGTGTGTGTGTGTGTACCTTTAGCTCGGCGATAGAAGAAAAAAGAAGAGAGTATAATAATCAACTAAATGGATCGCTCATTGTTTTGTTGATTGAAATATGCATGAACTGATACGTCCCCATCAACATTTGAACGTACATTAATGCTAACATTTTCCTACAAAAACGATTATTGGTCTTATCAAAGTGTCATGCTCCTAATACTACTAGTTTGAAGAAAAAAAAAAATAATCAAAAATAAATAACTTACACTTGAATGTTTATTCTTATAATAATTATGTTCGAAATTACCTAATTGTGAATTTTCAGAAGAATCATTATTTAATGATGGTGAGTCAATATCGATTAATTTTAAAATAGGATTTTGATGATGACGATGATTTGTAGGTGTGATCGCTGATGCTGTTAATTCATTATCGTTTAAATGATTACGATGCTACAGAGATCAATAATAAACAAATAAATTAAAGCTCTAAACAAATCATAATTTACTAATATCCCGCACCCGAGAACGCAATATTAGATATAAATCATAATTAAAATTAAACTTTCTTAACATATTTCATATGATAGAAATATATAATTGCCTCATTGTCCACCATTTGATTTAGCGGATAAGCCTCATTACAACGCTCTGTGATTTAAAAATAGTCAATATCATACCCAATTACGTTGTTCACGTGTCGTTAAGAGACTCGTTAATGGTAAAAAACATGTCGGTAATGTTGCCGTTAATGGTGGATAACTGTGTGTTAACAATGGTTTCATAAATCTATAAAATAAAGACGACTGATATAACGTTTTTTAGAACATGATAAAAATAATAATTACGAACATTCGATCAAAATGAGACCATTTTTTGAATAGCCAAGATGGTTTAATTGAACGTTGAGATTCTTTTCGTTCATTATTCAATATTACCTAGAATAGAGAAAGAAATGCAATATTAATTAAATATAAAAACTTGTATCGATGGTTATTAGTATCAAGTGTTTCAAACATTAAATAATTAATTCAGTACACACACACACTCATCGCAAAATTTCATGCACAATATGGAAGCATGTGTTAAAAAAAATAGTTGTCGAAGTTAGTTTTATGAATTTTTTCTTCTCTACCTTTTGTGATGAGTTAACAGACAAAGAATCGTCATCCATACCGCTTAACAGAGCGACATCATCTTGAGATGAACGCTATAAACACAAATATTATAATTTTAAGATATTCAAGCAATTGTTTGAGTAAAACAATGGAGCAAATGTTAAATAAGTCTTTTGCAATGAAAATAAATGCTCAAAAATATAAAGTACATTGTTTGTATAACGAAAAAAAAAATGAAATTATATTTGAAATACTATTCTCATATGTTTTAAACGAATTATATATAGAAAAATACGTACACTTTTGTTCAATATTTGATATCTATCAGTACTCTCAATACTTGGTAGCTGTTCATTTTCATCTATCACATTAATACTAAATGAAGAATACATCGACAAATCTATTTTAAATATTGATGATCAAATTTTTATTTACCGAATTTTAAGCCATCTCAAAACCGGTGCTGTAAGAGTACCGTTGAACATCACAGTTAAAATAACAATTACAGATGTTGTAGTATACATAAGTGATCTTGCGGCTGTAGAAACATTTCTTATTGCCAAAGCAAACGCAACAGCACCACGAAGACCTGTTAAAGAAGAATTAAAACGATCAATGCATATATCATACCATCCCATGTTTAAGTCTACAAACCGGAAAATATAATCATTAACTGCCATCTCCAACCAATGCGATTTGTTCTCGTAAAATTCAATAAAAATGATAGTAGAACAACAATTACTATTCTTGCAACAGCAATTGCAATCTGATAAAGAGACAAAAAAAAGAGGCTTAATTAATGAAACAGATATAACAAACGAAAAGAAGATCATACGATTGCTGGTATAATGAATTTAATATCCCAACGATGATCACGAAATGTAAACATTGTCACTCCAATGTAAACAAAAATAAAATTTTCCGCAAGAAAATTAAACAGATCAAATAACTAAAAGAAGAGTTACACAATTTATAATTTATAATGAAATTCAATAAAAATTTACGTCTCGTGTTCTCTGTTTTGAATCGGGTGATAAATTATTGTACGTGTAGTGTGCTTGAAATATTCCACAAAATAATACAGCCACAATACCTAAACAACAAAACATTCTCTAATATAGTTGATCAACAACTGAACAACGAATTTGTCTATACCTGTTAATCCAGCTGCTTCTGATGCTAAAAACGTACTATAGGACATTAAAAGAAACAAGGCCGTCTCTAATAATGGAAAATCTTTGATATACGTAAATTTTGTCATCTAAACAATGTAAACATTTATTATTATTGAGTAAGTATGAAATTATTTTTCATACCAATGCTGTTAGACAACCCATACCACTACCAATTGCAAATGAGCCAATAAATACAAAGAAAAAATTGCCTAACGATTTTAACATAACAGCTTGATCAAATTTTCCCAGTACAGCACTAGCGACGTATTTATCAATTGAACTAAATAAAATGAAGAAATATTGATTTTAGAGACAGTAATTAGCAAGGCAACATTTACTTGGCAAGTACAAGACACACAGCATCATTTAACACACTTTCACCAAATATAATGGCATACAAATCAACATCAACATTTAGATCGTTGAATATAGCAAGAACAGTTACTAGAAAAGAAAGAATGGTACTTATATCACTAAAGGAATTAAGTGCAATTCTTACCCGGATCTGTTGCCGATATAATTGCACCAAAATATAACGAATCTGTAAACGAAAAATAATGTAATTCCTTCAAAAAATGAACAGCACCATAGATAATTGCTCTAAAACGGAAAAAAAGACTATTACCACTGTGTTTTAGCTTTTAAGTAAATCTTACCCTGTTACGGCACACGCAATCGTTGTTCCTACGAGGGCAAACGTCAGTATCGCTCCCAAATTGCGAAAAAAATTTCGCTAAAACACGCATATACAATCATCATCGTTCATAAAAGAAGAAACGGTATCGACGGTCATTTAACATACCCTTTTCATACTATATCCAGCATGAAATATGATCGGTGGTAATATGATATTAAAAAATATTTCAGCATCAAATATAGCCTAGAAAAATTGTAAACATGTGTCGAATAAAGATTTTTTTCATAATTTGCGTTTTTTACTCTTTCTTCATTGATAGGTAATGTCTCTTTCTGATATGGTCCCTTGAACGTATATAAATAAATTGCTGATGAATTCTGATCTCTACAACAAACAATCAAATAGAATGAATACAGTCATTTAAATTAGAAAATATATTATTGACTTACTCTAAATAAATTGAATTTGGAATTGTTTTTGATTGAAATGTGGTATTCATCGGCAAATTAAGTTTCATATGTTTTGATTTTGACGTGTTTGAATAACGAAGAATAGCGCCAATAATAAAACCTTTAAAATGCAACAAAATTATGTGTAACAGAATTTGGTAAAGTGCTTTTTATAAAACATTAGAATTAAATGTTGAAGAACTATGTGGGAGAGAAAACATTATCATAATTCGTAATCCTGATCTATGCTTTTATAAAAAAAGTTAAAATTTACCATAAATTAATGCGAGACATGTTTCGTGTATATATCTAAAATTTCTTCGTTTAGCTATCCAAATTGTTAATACGACAACGACCAATAATAAAGTAAATAATAATAGATTTAATGAATCAATTCGATGGACATTTGCTTGTAATTGTTCTTGATTACTTTCTATTTCTTCAGCCCCTGATCCACTTGTGAACATAATAATAAAAAATTATACACAATAAATAGGCATGAAAATAAATAAATAAGAGAGATCTGACTGATCGATCAAAAAAGAGTATATAATTAAGGTAAAAAATAATTTATAAAAGAAACGAGAGAAAAAGTGAGTATTTTGTTGGTATGCAAGATATTTATAAGGAAGAGAAAAATATCTAAAATACGTTCATACCAAAATATTTTAACATATGGTAATCTATTGGAGAGGAAAAACCCGCATATCTGCTAATCTAATTTGACTCAATATAAACAATATAGAGAAAGAATTATTTTAGCGCTCCGTTCATGTCAAACTCAAAGAAAAACGATGAACTGATACTTTGAAAGTTGCCTACATGCACCATCAGTAATAATTATCGATGCATAAAAGATTGTGGTGTTGAAAAAACTTATAGTTATCTTGGTAAACGCAAGAACGCTCATATATACGCTTTATCTCTCTAACTAGCAGTGATTCTGGTCACAAGAATAGCCTTTTCCTGAAGTTTTGATTTTCTGTCAGAACTTAAAGTTTTGCCATCACTTTTCGTCGAGAAAAAAATGTTCACTCTAGTCCCTTTTTTTGCCTCAGTGTGTAGATATCGAAAAAATTCTGATTATTATTGATACGCTATTGGCTCAAACAGATTGCAATGTACAAGTTTGAAAAATCTATTTTGTTTTCTTTCTGACCAAAAATCAATTCGGAATTCTGGTCAGTAGTACTTAACATCAGACTCTTCAAACATTTGTCGATAAAACTTCTTATAAATACTGGATTTACTTATTGCCGTCTAACTTGCTGATAATTCCGTCTATCCTTAACGATACTTCTATTTACGTATTCATCATTTTTTTTTGTAACTCACATTTTAACGTACGACGTTTGAACGTATCACAGTTAACATACAGTAATAATCTTTGCACTACAGTAGGCTAGCATTAAAAGTATGTGAGATACAACATAGTTAAGATACACAGCATTTGAGTCAAACAAAGAATATCGATGAAACTTGAGATTAACTTCTTCTGAAAAAAAAACTGTCTCTGTAACAAACTGTTTCATGTTCAAAATCATTTCTACTACAATTCGGATGTGTCTTACCGTTGATTGTTTTAAAATCTTTTTTTCCATCCACAACTAATTCGTTAATAGTATTGACCATTTTTTCAAAAATATTCAATTGGCTATCGTTATCGTCAACGTTTGCGATTGTCATATTCATACTGCTATTATTGTCAAAACTATAATATTTTGGATTTAACGTTGAATTCATGAGAAATACTATCAACTATCGATTAATCAATAGAAAATTGCTTACGATAAATTTTCAAAAAATAAAACTAAACTTATATAGTTTACAGGACAACATATGCTATTAATTTCTTTTTTTATGTTGATTTTTTTCTTTTTTTTATTGTCTCTAATTTGTTCTTATTGTTAGTAAAAAATAGATTACTCTAATAGGTTCTCTCTTTCTCATTTATGGTTTTAGCATGTGGCTACTTTTCACATAGAATACAAGGTTTTTGGATTTCATATCACGAATAAACTATAAGTGTCGCACAATGAAAACGACGAAGAACACTGTAATACATCGTCTAATTCTATTATACAACGGTTTACTTTAGTTTTGAACAAAAAAAAAAACGTACGAAGAAATCAACGATTTTTTAATTCATTTCCACTTTTCGCATTTTCAAGGTCGTGCATCACGAGAATGCAAAAAATAACCTGCATTAATAGATTCTATTTTCTGAATTGATTCTTTCAATTCTCTCCCCTTTTCTGTGTCATTTTGAAAATATAAAATTTTGATACATGTGTCGCGCATTTCTGGCTGTATTAAAGTAGAATATCTACTATTTCTTAGGTTTTTCTACTATTCAATGGGAGATTCATATTACATGAACAGAATGGAAACACGGTGCATTACATTGACAAATATTTTTTTATTCCAATACAGTTACACAGCAGTTCACATTTTTATAAACGGACGATCAGGCACAACAATGTAAAGTGTTCAGAAACGACACACTTTAGAAAGTTGCAACATTGCATGACTATATGCATACTAGAAACGTAAAAATAATTATGACGTTTCAAAAACAAAACTCTCAAAACCATTTGCAAAAAGATCTGAAACATCAAACAATCATCAAAATACTTTTTCGTTATTCTTTATTCAAATACAAATAAACAGTAATAATAATAATAGAACGACAGTTGGTCAAAACGAAAAGTTTTACGATTGTATAGAAAAAAAAAATACGAAACTGCTCTATATCTCGTTATTGTCATACACAAAAGTAATTGCGTGTTCATAGTACAAATCAGCCATCTATTTAACGAAATCATTAACATTTACGGACTACATGTGATTTTTTACGGCCTAAAAGACACAAAAAACATTCACATTAAGAGCAGATGAAAAGATATAAATCGAAGAAAAGTAAAACGCCCTTACCACAATAATTTATAAGATCAAGTATTTGTCGAGACGATACCGATTACAGGTGATTAGTCAAGTCATTTCGATCAACAAGACATGACATAATTCTTTAATATTGTTCATGTGTAATTACAACATATTTGGCTTTGTTGCAATTCATCAGATTGCTGTTTAATTTAATAACATTTTAAAATATTCATCAGTACAATATTCCATTCTTCAATATGCAATCGAATTTCATATAGAATATCGAATGAGGTTACGGTAGCACATATGAGCATTGGATATTGTTGTGATACTATCGATTAAATCTTCCTTGAAATTTGATTTAATCTTACCAGTGATCTTGAATTTATTATTTGTGAACTACTGGTATTGCTTTTTTATACTTTAATTTCCAATGTTTTTCTAGGCAGTCTTTTGAACAACGATGAACATTTTCATGTTGATCCACAAATACTAAGCGGTAGGCTGTGTTAAAAACAACTCTGACGACGAAAAGACATACAATAAATTGTAACTGTGATCATATAATTCACACTTGAATGCCATTAGAAGATGTCATTCGAGCTGAAAACGAAAATCTTTCAAAAAGACGTTCATATTAGAGAAAAAAAACGCAGTAACAATTAACTATTTGCTAATTTGAACGCTACAAAACTACAATCTCTTGCGATTGGCTCAGTTTAAGCCAATAATAAAGAAAGACGGCCCAGCTACGAAACATCTTTGTCTTACTGTACTGCACTAATTACCCATGCGAATCTAATCAACGTTGTTAAAAACAAAGCAAAAAGCAGCACGAAAAACCAAACATTTTGATAACTCTGGTCCACTTTTCCTGGAAAAATCTCCAGGTAGTCCCTGAAAAAAAACCCGCAGAGAGTTTAGAGGGAGTCCCTACGGATTTCATAGGGAGTTCCCCAAAACGAATAAATGCTGAATTCGACAAGTTTCAGACGGAAGCAGTTACGCTTATATAAAAAAAGAAAGAAATTAATCTAAAAAAAGAGATGTTCCTGTTTAAATTTTAACGTTTTATATACTTCTGCAGACGCAAAACAAAACGGTAATTCAGGCCCGTAGCCAGGATTTTGCTAAAGGGATGCACTATAGATGTAAATCGATATATCGGTTTTCTTGCATTTTGTTTTTTGGTTGTACCGGTTCTGATTCCTAGCAGTTAAATAGCAATTTTTACTTATGGGGTGTGCCCGGACACAACGGGCACCCCTCTGGCTACGGGCCTGCGGTGGCTCCATTTTAGGTGATATTACAGTAAGGTACAAGAAACCCTAGTCGGGACACCCGACAAAACTACCATGGGATTCCTGTTCCTGGATCCTGTGGGACTCCCATGGGACTTTCGAGTACCACGATTGTCCTCAGGATTCCTTTGAAAGATCCACGCGATAGAGGTCTGCGGGACTTTTTACGGAATAGGGAACCAAACTTCGTGGGACTGGGACCTAGAGATCTGCGGAACGGTCCCAGTCCCACGAGACTTTTAATGCGACTGGGGCCAGGTTTTTTTGAAAATAGTCTTGTATGGAGCATAAAAATTTCTTAGTTTCAATTTTGCGAGAAAGAACTCATAGAAAATTCGACTTTCAAACTATCAGCGCTACTTTGACAAAATATTTACCGGACCGGAACCAAAAATTTTTTTCTTCACGGAATCGGAACGGAACCGTGACCAAACTTCATGGGACCGGAACGAGACCGTGGCCAAACTTTATGGGACCGTGACCAAAAATGTTTGGTCCCGCAGACCTTTACCACCTGATCCCACAGGATCCCGGAACAGGAGTCCGGTGGGACTTTTGTCGGAAGTCTTGACTAGGGCAAGACGACCCTCAATCAATATTTGAATTTTTTTTCACAGAAAATAATTTTTAAAAATCTTAAATTGACTTTTTCCTATTTAGTTCGATGAGCTGTATGCAACCATGTCATACAATAAAACGAAATTGCTCAATTTTCTCAAATCTTGAGTTTCCGGCAGCTTACATTATAAAAAAAATGTATTTTCGTGCAGTAGAATGAATAGTTGTAAATCCTAGCAAGCTATGATAACCAGACTGTTTTTTGGTAACACTATTGCTGTTCGTCATCTGGCTATGAAGAAATTCAATTATTCTTTTACATTTATTTGTACAATTTCGATTTTCCATTGATAAGTTGATCAATCCACCATTCAATGAAAAACATTTCAAGGTGTAAAAGGTTGTATTTCTTTATAACAGTATATGCTGAATCCGATGAACATGTTAAAAATGGATATCTTTCTATCAACGTTTTTACGAGCCTGTAATCGTCTCTTAAATTCTTTCTCTTCTCCAAAACTTTCACTCAGCTTTTAAAATTATACTTAAGGTAGTCCAAAAATTCTTTTTGTGTGGCAAGTTCCCTTACATGTAGCCAAACATTTTTGACTGCTCATACATGCCGTATTGCTTCGCTGTGTAATTCAAGTCAAAGTTCATGTACTTCGATGGGAGAAAAGTTACGAATCTCTTAATTTTTTGTTGTTGCTATATACTCCTCT